TAAACCTATTCCTTCCCGGAACAATGGCACCGATTCTGCCGTCAACTGTCTTCTATCCATTGCTCTTTGCTTGCTGCTAAGACCGACTCGAGTATGTAAAACCCTAAAAACAAGCAGATGAATACTCTTCCTTCGGTATTGTTTGGATTGGAGGTGTCGGACGGAGAGGGAGGAGAAGGGATGGGGATGGGGACGGATGGCAAGGGAGGGGGAGCGAGGGCTGTCTCCTTTCTCCTGTTTGGGTTTCTAAAAAGGCAGAGGGAAAGAGGATGGACTGATTCGGACTCTCTTCAACCACCCTTAAATTTGTAGATTTGCAATTCGTCCGATTTGGGGGGTTTGGGAGAGATTTGAATGATTATTTAGATTAGGTTAAATGTAATTATAAAATCAATCTTAATTTTTTTATTATATCCTTTTCCATTACAAGTTTAAAGGGTAAATTTATAAATTTAAAATTAATTTAAATCTTTTCCTTCCTTTTTTTCCTTTTATCTTAATTATCCAAACATAAAATAATACAATCTTTCCCTTCCCCTTCCTCATTTTTATTTATCCAAACAAAATTAACACAAATTATTTCCTTCTATTTTCTTACTTTCCCTTTCTTTTCCTCCCCCTCCATTTCCTTTTATTTTCCTCCATTTCCCTCCCTTCCCTTCCCTTTACTATTTTCTATCCAAACAAGGGCTTCCTGTTCCAGGAAGTAGAAGAGAAGGCGTTGGTCTCCATGGATGTTATGTTCACGGATAAGGAAACCCAACCCATTTACAAATGGGCTATTGGGTTGGGTTGGGTTAGGTTATGAATCTAATCACCAAATTCGGTCTATTTAATTCAACGTAATTCGACTCCGGCCTAATGGGAAAATCCTACCCAATCAAAGTGATTTCTTTTTTTACATCAATTTTGATAATGAGTTATATAATAAAAAATAATTTTTTTCTCAAATCACTGCTCAAAACTCAAACTCAAAGTTGAAATTTTCAACTTAAAATCTTAAATTTTTAATTAGTTTACACCTACCTAATCAAAGTGAATAATCATCACCCGTCCAACTTTAATTATTATACTTTTTAATTAAAATCGTTTTAAATTAGCTGCCCTATATTTCCTTTTTTTTTTAATGGAAAGTTGGCCTATATTCTAATTAGATGCATTGTATAAAGCTCTAATTCTTATTTTATTTTTATTTTTAAAAAATAATTATAATATATGTAAACAAGAATAAATAAAAAATTTTATCACTAAATTGTTACATTCTTATTTTATTGA